TCGTTAATTATTTTATTTTAAACTCTAAATTCTAAACTCTCATAATTATTTTATTTTCTCTCATGCCCTAAATCTAATTATTTCTACTTCTCTCATGTCTTAACTCCTATCCTCTCCTCTTACACTCTAAACCCTAAACTCATTGATTGTTTCCTATCCTCTTATACTCTAGCATCTGTTGCTTAGTTCTTCTTGTCAACCTTTTCTTCACAACGAGCATAGTCTCATTCATTATTATTCCTCTTAAAGAAGTTGATCATATTTAGTTTAGTAAATACTTGGAGATAAACCACTTTCATCTTCTACAAGAGTTTAGTTTTTCTCTCATATCAATTATCGAATACTTTTCGATAATTTCTAACTCGAAATAGGTGTCATTTCTCTAAACTATTCGAAGTGAACTTATAATCTTATTGTGTAAGGTTACAAGTCAATTCAAGCGAACCATAATTTTTGTTAATTTGTTTAGGAGGCAAAACACTATATGTTTTGATTTCATTTTATTTAGTTATAATATTTTTTAATAGTGTTACTATATTTTCCATCATTCAAAAAAGCATTATCTCAACAAAAGCAAAATTATCAACTTACATGTAGCCCTTTTAAATAGGGAATACAATAATTAATATAATAATTTTTAATATTAGACAAAATAATTTGGAATGTCGTTATAATATTTTGGTTCATAAATAAAAAAATATTGTATCTGAATATATGAGTCATAATACAAATTCGTACAATATCAACAAATGGTTACGAGCATAATTTGTATCGTGCTATTTGATATAAGTCATAAAAAGTTAGTTATAATATTTTGGAATGTGTGCGTTAGGAGTACTAAGAGGGGAGGGGGGGGGGAGGGAGTCACAGTTACGATGGAAATCATAATGTAAGCGCAAACTGAAATATGATGTTCGTACGATAAAACTGATTTACGTCTAAACACCGATTCGAAAAATACTGAACTTTGAAACATGATCGTAAATGCGCAGAAGGCAGTAAGCTATTGAGGAGGTTTGCAGTAAAGATAATATGCTCAAAGTAAATGCAAACCAGAGAGCACCGCAATTTTAGAGTGGTTCAGTCAATCTTGACCTACATCCACTTCTGACTTCCTCCACCGACGAGGTCACCGACGTCCACTGGAGGCCTTCCTTCAATAGGCGAAGGCCAACCACCCTTTTACAGTTTCACTCCTTTTGACGGGCTTAGGAGACAACCCTTACAGAATTTTCTCTCCTCTCTTGAAAGATCAGAACTTGGAAGAAAAGAGGGAGGAGAACTTCTAACTCATACAACACTTTTGAGCTCTACAAATCACAGAGTAAGATCAAGATTTCGGTGGTTTTTGGTTGCTCTGTCATTACTGAAAGGGTGGGGTATTTATAGGCCCCAACCCAGTTTGAATTCCGAGCTCAAAATTGTCAATTCCCGAAATTTCGGGGTCTGGCGGTTGCACCGCCTGGCAGAGCTCAAAGACTGAACCTCTGGGCGGTGCCACCTCCTGTCAGGGGCGGTTGCACCTCTTACCAGAGCTCGGAGACCGAGCTCAGGCGGTTGCACCTCTGTCAGAGGTGATTGCACCGCTCAGCTAGAGCTCGGAGACTAAGCCCTGGGCGGTGCCACCGCCGACCCAGGTGGTGCCACCTCTGGCCAAGAAATCTAGGTCCGAATGGGCTGATCCATTCGGCCCAATTTGGGTCTGTTAAGGGCCCAATTGCGCCAAGATTAAGTTAATGAGATCACCTCTCAGTTCTAACTTAATCATCGTGCTAACTACGATTTTTCTTAAGATATTTAATGTAACTTGCTCCGGTGCGTCATTCGCTTCTTCCGACGAGCTTTCGGCAAACTTCCGTCGATCATCCGATGAACCCTCGGTGATGCTCCTGCGGACTTCCAGCAAACTCTTGGATTTGCGACGATCCACTTGGCGAGTTCCGACGAGCTTCTTTTGGCAAGCTCCTGGACTTCTCGGATTTGTTCCCGTAGAACCTCCGACGATCATCCGGACTTCCGTCGAACTCTCGAACTCCTACCGTGATCATAGTCTTGACTCTGGCGCAACTCCTACTGCATGTCTTACTTTCATCATAGTTAATCCTGCACACTTATCTCAACATATGGATTAGATAACAAATGAGAATTCACGTCATCATCAAAATATGATATTCAACAATATGAAATATTATATCTGAACATAAAAACAATGCAAATAGGTCATGATATATATATATATATATATATATATATATATATATATATATATATATATATATATAT